TTTTTTTTTTTTTTTTTTTTTTTTTTTTGGTACTGGGGCTTGAACTCAGGACCTTGTGCTTGAGAGGCAGGTGGTGGAACCACTGAGCTAAATCCCCAGCCCAAATTTTTTTAGTTTTAAACTTTCTTCAAAAGAAAAACACTGTATGAAAAGGCAAATACATCTGACAATCAAGTGAGATTTTATCTATGAAATGCAAGGTAGGTTTAACATTCAGAAATCAAGTGGTAGAGCACTCACCTAGGACATGGGTGGTTCTGGTTAGTTCCCCAGCACTTTTCTTAAAGAAAAACAGGACTCAAAAGCTGAGCCCTTTTGCAAGTCCCACCCTCCAGGCAATGCCTTAATCTGACAAAAGTACCTACAAATCACCTGCATCTAACATGGTAATAAGGAGACTAAAAAGAGGTTTCTCCTAAAATCAGGATAAGGCAAGGATCCCCAGTCCTACCACATAGTATATTATTCTACTGGAAGTTCTAGCCAGCGCACTCAAAGAAAAGAAATGTGTCAAGACTGGAGAGTATGGACACACTTTTCCTTAGAGAATCTGACTGCCAATGTAGAAAATCCAATGAAATACAAAAGAGAAAAAAAAAAGCTCCTAGAACTAATAAGTCAGTATAAAAACAAATCAATGAAAAAGAAGAGAATTCACAGAAATATAGATTGACAAACATGCAAAGGCAATTTGGTGAAGAAAGCACAGTCTTTCAACACATGCTAGAACTGGATTTCCACAAATAGTTCATTTCAATCCATACCACACTCAACATACACAAAATACCTCAAAATGCATCACAAGTACTACATGTAAAATCTAAAGCCATACAATGTTCAGAAAAAAATCAGGAAATCGAACTCAGGACCTTGCACTTGTGGGGCCACTGAACTAAATCCCTGGCCCTAGCAACTCTTTGGGACTTGAGATCAGGCAGATTGTTTTTTGTTTTTGTTGGGCTTTTGTTGTTGTTGTTTGCAGTACTGGGGAGTGAACCCAGGACCTTGCACTGTGCTACATCCCCAGTTCTTTTTTTTATTTTTTATTTTGAGACTTAAGTCACTAAGTTGCCTGAGTGAGTACTTCTGATATCTCATACCAAAAGCATAATTCATTAAAGAACACATAACTTACACAAGGTGAACTCTGTCAAAATTTAAAATTTCTGCTTTTCAAAAGACTTTTAAAACATGAAAAGAGAGGATCAGGGATTTAGCTTAGTGATGCCACCGCCTGCCTTGCAAACTCAAGGGCCTGAGTTCGATCCCCGGTACCAAAAGAAAGAAAAGAGAAGCCACAGACTGTGATGAAATAGAACCAATAAAGGTAGTTGTTTTCAATATACCTCTGTGTGTGTGTGTGTGTGTGTGTGTGTGTGTATGCGCGCGCGTGCGCGCGCATGCATGTGAACTTTAAATCTCAAGCCTCAGTAATTACAACCAACCAGTGAACAGCACAGGTGGGTACTGGGTGGGGCATGTGAGGTGCCCTAAGGCAATGGCTGAGGCGCTCACTCTAGGAGTCTGAATGCTCCTTGAGCCCCTTCTCTGTGTGCTCCTCCATGAATGTGGCCTGGACTGGTGACATATTCTGACGAGATGGACAGTCACTTCCCACAGTAAAGTCACAGGAGACCATGCCTTCTGTCTTGCTCACACACTGGCTCCCTTCACTTAGCTGCTCCCGTGAAACCAGCTGCCTCCTGGTACAAGGTCATGGGGAGGCCCCCAGGAACCCCAGTCCCCAGCCGAGCAGCTCTGAAGGGATTCAAGAGTGTGGCCTCTGACCGACCCTACTGCCAATACAATTACAAATAGGAATCCATTCTCACTCAACTGACCTTGACATGACGGCTCTGAGAGTTCCACACCACCAGGTCAGGGAGGCCCCCTCGGCAGTGTCGGAAGTCAGCAGCCAGGCGCCGGCACACACCGCTGAGGATGGGGCCCCCAAGGCAGGAGATGAGATCCTGAACACAAAATGCACGGGGAGTTAGCCACCTCCCTGAACAGGGACCAGAAGCAGGTCCCCGCGGCCCTGAGGCAGTGGACGACTCCTATCTCCTTCAGCAGGAAACGGTCCGGCAGTGCACCAGAGGCTGTTTGGTGCTTATGTGCGGGTCCAGAGCTGCTGGCTGACATCCCCACTGGCAAGCAACGGGAAATCAGTTCTCTGTGATCAGTTATCTGCATTCTGCCCAGGGTGGACATTCTGGGGAATGCAAGGAAGACAGAATGTGACAACAATGACTCACTCACAGAGGCTGGCACTTACAGGGATTCAGGGACAGAGAGTTCCTCCCTGCTAAAGCCACAGGTCAAATCGGGTGCAAAAGGTGTAACTGTGGGGTCTTTTAAATGTTGACGTTTCTGTCAGTGACATCTGCACTGGGGGACTCAGTATTATACACACACCCACACCTGTGTACTCTAATACAGTTGCCAGGGACTCCCCAAAACAGGAGGCATTGCTTCCTGCCCAGATCTTGCCGTGCAAGTGAACCGTGTTACCTGAGCTTGCTGAAGAGAGGCGAAGCGATCCCAGCTGACAAGGGAAGACACTCGGCCCTCCTGGGCCTGCCACGTGGCAGCCAACCAGGTCCGCAGGCTCTCTGCAGGGGCACTATGAATCAGTTGCAGCCTGGCTTCAAGCACAGGCCTCCTGCTGGCAAAGAAGCTGTCTGTGCACAAGTCCAGCGGGGCTGCCTGTGTGGCAAGGAGAGCAAGCTTTCACAACATGCCAGGAGCGCGCAGGCCCGCGGGGAAGTCAGTACTCAGCACCTGGAAAACGGCCCATCTGTGATGCATTCTTCTGTTGAAAGGTATATAAAGGTTACCTCGTATATGTAATGTGATATAAAGGCAATTTACTACGCTACAATTTTACAGTGATAGTTTGCAAAGGGAGCTTTCACATTCAATCAGCGGAGCTCTTAGCATTTGTGACTGTATCTGAAGGCCCTTGTGCTGGTGCATGGCTCAGGACAGGTGCTCAGTAAAAGGTGCAGCTGAAGGGACTGGTGAAAGTTCCCAATGCCCTGCTGAAGGTAAACCAGACAAAGCTTAAATTTTAACATACGTTTGTTTCAAATTCCACACATCTGATTTTAAAAGTAAAAGGTATTCTTCTTTCAATGGAACTAGTGCTGTGAGGTGTGGGGGGCCCTCAGGCCTGTGACGGGAGCCAGGCCTCGTGTGCGGTCTCCCTGCAGCACAGAGCCTCTGCCTGACCTGGTAGGCGTCTCTGAAAACGTCCGGGATCCCATCCATGAAGATCACATCCCACAGGAGGAGGCCGCACAATGTGCTGAAGGTGGACCCTTCCCCGTGAATCCCTAAGACAGAAGAACATGCGAGGGAAAGTCAGTTTTATTTATTTTTTTCAAAAATGCTACCATGACCTACTGTGTACTTAGTTTCAAGGAGATAAGGGAAATATTTTCAATTCCAAAGCAAATGCTGTTTCATGCCATTCCCAGTTCTTTTCTTAACTGTTTTTGCATACAGAAGCCTCACTGAAGGACAAAAATCTTAACAATCCTAGAAAAAGTAAAAAATTATTTTTTGGTACCAAGGAATAAATCCAGAGCCTTCACATTGTCCTATATCTCCCTCCCCTTTTTAATTTTATTTTGAGACAGTCTTGCTAAGTTGCCCAGGCTAGGCTTGAACTTGAGATCCTCCTATCTCAGCCTCTGAGAGTGCTGGAATTAGACATTTGCCACCATGCCCAGCCTCAAATAACATCTTAGGCTACAAAACAGAGGAACCTAAGGAACATTCTTTCTTAAAAAATGGTTCCCTCCTGGGCCAGCGGTTTAGCTCAATGGGTATCACACCTGCCTTGCAAATGCAAGGTCCTGAGTTTGATCCCTGGTACCAAAAAAAAAAAAAAAAAA